TAGGGGTTGGGGCTGGCACCTGGAGGACTCTGGGGGCCGGGGCTTTTGGTGGGCCAGCAACATTTTATTTGCATACTTGCATATATGTTGTTTGCACAATGAATATGCAAACATGCAAATAAAATGTCACCGGTCCACCAAAAAAATTTTTTCAGCAGCCTTCTGCCCCGTTCAGTGTATAGGGTGAATGCACAAGGGAGCAGAATTAAGGTTATACATCTGGAGGACTCTGGGGGCCGGGGCTTTTGGTGGGCCAGCAACATTTTATTTGCATACTTGCATATATGTTGTTTGCACAATGAATATGCAAACATGCAAATAAAATGTCACCGGTCCACCAAAAAAATTTTTTCAGCAGCCTTCTGCCCCGTTCAGTGTATAGGGTGAATGCACAAGGGAGCAGAATTAAGGTTATACATGAAAATAAATTGCTAACTGTCATACACAAAAATGGTAGAGCCCCTCTGACTGGGCAGTCACCAAGTGGTTGTGCATGGGGCCTAAGAGCAAAGTGGGCTCTGTACTTGGAACTTGTTGAGTCTGAACAGAATCCAAGTACCTAACCTGTTTCATCTGTCTGGCACCCTCTTCTGAGAAATGACACCCTGCAGTCCAGCTGCTTAGCACTGGGAACAGTGCTGCTGACTCAGACTCTGTCCTTAGCTTAAACACATGCTTTCCAGAACGCCAGCTGAATGTGTGCTTTGGATTTACAGTTCACCTCTTCAGGGGCATGTGAAAGTCAGCAGACACACAAATCTCTTTTGCATAGGAATCTAAATGGAAATCCCTCTACTTAAGTATTATAAGAGAAACAAATCAAGACAAAATAATAAACACATTCATACACCTTTCTCTACCTCAGCTTTGTCACTGTTCTGGAAAGTCCTTTGAATTTAGAGCAGAGACCTCTAAGGGGGTCCAGATTCCTTCTCTTCATCATTGAGTCTCCCTCTCAAGGTCAGTGAGCACTCTTCTTTTCTGGTTCTTTCCTGTGCATCTGACTCTGTTTGTATGTCTCAGCAGCAACATCTGCTTTCTCTAATACTGTATGATGCTGAGGATTTTTCACTCTCCACTTCTGCAGCCTTATGCAGAAAAACTTGGTTGATCTGGTTTCCCTCAGCTTCAGCCATCCTATTGTCTGGAAGTATTGCTACTTGAATAGATGAAACAAAATTAAAAGTCCAACAATCCACTTGATGTGGGAGGGGACACACTATATGATTGACAGCAGATGGCAGACTCCACATCCATGCCTATTGCATGGCACAATAGTTTCAGAATATCAATGAGAACTCATAAATTGTACCTAGTGTGATTCTGACATCAACTCAACTTTCAAATGCCTGTTTTTTTTTCATTTAACTTTAAATGACTGAATCAATGAAAACAAACTGAAGAAAGAGAATAAAGTCTAAGCAAAAATCTTTCATGGCAATCGAGGTTTACGTGAACCACTTAGTGGCTTTGCTGTGTGCATATACACTATACTATTGTTTTCTCTTTAACGCTACGATGAGAAATCTGTATATTTTGTTTCTCTTTGGCCCATTACATTCCTACCCAACACTCAAAGTTCCCCTGACACTTTGTTGCAATATTTTACTAACTTTTAACTACTCTGAATTGTTCCCCACCCCAGCCCTGCTCATTAAAGTTTCCTCCCTCTACTTTCTCTAATGTGCCGCAACAGTGACATGGTTCAAGGGTGGATTTCTTTCCATGTTCATTTAATACTCAATCTTTTTTTTTTTTTTTTTTTTTTTACAGGTACTCCTTGTTAGACATCAGTCTGATTATATTAATAACTTTAATTCCCTATGGACTTAGGTGGAAACTGAACCAGTAAGCTAGCGATAAATAGAGTTGCATCCTATTAATCGGTTACCCTGAGTTACTTATTTTACCCCAAATATTTTGTAATCTTTCAGTGTGTATTCATAGACAGGAGGGAAATGGAGAGTAAGATGTTCTGTCCACTATCTGTCACAAGGTCACTTAAAAGTATGTTGAAATGTTCTTGCAAATTGCATAATCCTCTGATTAGCCCAGTCTCATAAGAAGTGATTTGAATAGGCACTGAATGGCTAGTCAGAGGACAGTCTTATAAGCATGTGATATTAGTTTATATGAAGTAACTTGTAGCATAAATCAGTTTCTGTGCAGATAGCAGGATTAGCCAGTTTCCTTGTCTGGTTTGCTTTGAGTTTGAGACTTTACAGCTGTTCTGCTGCATGTTGTCAAGGCAGTTTTTTTTTTTTAAAGCAACAAAATACTGAGCAGAGTAACTTCCATCTTTAAAATTTTAATGAGCCTTCCTGTCTTGTTTTATTTCATGCCTTTGTTCAGAGAGTGCTGGAATTGATACTGAATCCTTTCTTCATTGGGAACTAATGTGGAGTTGTGAAAAGGATACTATCAGTAAACTCTTCAGTTCTCAGACTGAAAGAATTATTAGCTGTTAAGTATGGTTTTCATTGGTTGTACTAGTTGGTTCAACACAACACACTTTTTAAGAAAAGTCTATCAGAATACCCCATTGACTATAAAAATTATAACCTACATTTTTTGGTAGGAATGCAATGTTATCCTTCTGTGGTACATATGGATATGTTGAAAATATGCTGCTGCTTTTTTATGAAGATATTCAATAATAACATTAAATACTGTATAAAACAGTCCTTGTCTTCTTCTGGACAGTGTATTTGCATAGATATAATGCATGTAAAGAGGTCCATTTGGATACTTGTCTTTATGGTTTTGCCTTTTTAGAATTTTCTTAACACTTCAAGGTAATTATCATTTTTCTCTCTCTTTTCTTAACAGAGGAAGAGCTCAGGAAGCTCAGAGAAGAAACAAATGCTGAAACTTTAAAGCAAGAACTAGAAAAAGAACGGCAGAGAAGATTGGAACTAGAACAAAAGATCAATGAAGTACTTAAAACAAGGTAAGAGAAATCACTGCATGAAGTATAGCTCAAGTGTCAGCTAAACTGAGTGGCACTGAGTGACGAATTACAGACATTTTAAAAACTCCATGCTTGTTTATTCTCCAGGATTTCACTAGAGAGAGTAGGCAAGCCAGAAGTTGGGGCTATTGTAAATTTCTAATCTGTCTTCATGCATAACACAGGCCATAGGACTTCTCTCAATTAATTCCTTTGAACTAGAATCATAGAGCTGGAAGAGACCTCAGAAGGTCATCAAGTCCAGCCCACTACCCAAGGAAGAACCAATCCCAACTAAATCAACCCAGCCAGAACATATAGGCTTCTTAGAAAAACATTTGGGCTATGTCTAGACTGCCTCCTCTTGCACAAGAAAATATGCAAATGAGGCAAAGTGGTAAATATCACTGCACCTCATTGCATACTTAATAAGCTGCCATTTTGTGCAAGGGGCTTTTGTGCAAAAAGGAGCCCTTTGCACAAAATCCCCCTCTTGCACAAGAGCCATTCTGTCGTTTTTTTTTTAGGAAGAACGGCTCTTGCACAAAAGCGGGTTCTTGTGCAAAAGCCCCTTGAGCAAAATGGTGGCACATTAACTATGTAATGAAGCATGCCGATATTCACCATTTCACCTCATTTGCATATATTCTTGCGCAAGAGGGGGCAGCCTAGACGTAGCCCCAGTCTTGGTTTCAAAATTTGCAATGGAGTCTCTACCATTGTATTAACTTGGTAAACTATTTCACTGGTTAATAACCCTCCCTCCAATGCCCTTTTAATAATAATGTCTTATTTCCCGTAGAAAAGCATGTGTCAGTACTGATCTCTTCTTTCCCCCCCCCGCCCCCCCAAAGAAACCCCAGTGGCTCAAGTGCACTCCATTTCAGAGCTGCTTCATGTGAACACTGATCTTTAGTTTACTCCTTTTCAGGTGTTGCCTCCCTCAGGCACTCTGTGCCGGGATATGTGATAGTTAAAGCTTGAACACAGACTTTGCAAAAGGATTTCTGCAAGCAATTACCCTTCACTTTAGATCCTACAAAATGTTAGATAAAAACAAATGCTTCTGGTTCCTTGCCACGTTAAATGTTCTTTGGGATCAGAGTTAGTGTTTTTTTAGGGTTCCAAGTCCTGCTTTATGGTTTCTCCTCCAAACATGAAGTAAGCACTCTTTCATATAGCCAGCTTCCTTTTCGTTCTTCCTCTGTAAAATGGCTGGTGCCTTACTTCCTTCCATTTCTTCCAGCTCCTTTTATTAGATGATGCACTGTTCAGCCTCAGACCCCCAGTTAAGTGATCATTCGTCTGGTTTCCAGGCTATCTTGGGTAGACTGGTTCCTCCTGATAATATTTAATTGACCTCCTTTTAAATTGAAGATCACCAAGGTATTAAGATCCTCCACCATATGCCTTGTGTCTCCACCCATTGGAATTTTGTGACCAAGATGGAGGTGAAAATGATAAAGAAGGCACAGATTAGCCTTACAATTAAAATGGGGATTGTAGTTTGATATGGTTATACAGAGTCCAGAATATCCAATGGAATTCAAAAGTTGCATATAGATTCTCCAAATTGTCAGAAACCCCAAATTTGTTTGTTTTCACCAGTTCTGCCTGCTGTTCTCTTTGTGCAGTGTGTAGATATGTGCAAGACCAAAAGGACAACACCACTGAGAAAGTTTCCCTGTTTATTCTCATATCAGCTAGGCCTTTATTTTAAGGAGTCTTTTTTCTAGCATGTCTTCCACTTGAATGAAATGTGTCTCATTCCTTTTTGATCGGTTACACGTGACAACTCATTTTGAAACACCTTACATGATTTGCAGGCACATATACAGGCCTCTCACCCACATGAACAAAACTAAAACTACTAAAGTTGTAGAGTAGGAAGAAGAGATTATTGTTGTTTTTTATGTAGTTCGGAGGAGCTCAGATACTACAGTTTTGTGGGCATCCAGTAAGTACCCCAGACAAACACAGATGGTGCAACTAGAATCAGTGAAGGGAAGAAAAGGGATGCTTAAGAGGACTGTCTTGCCAAAAACCTGGCGTCTTTCTTCTGAATTTCTTTATGGTTTTTGATTTTGCAGCCATAGTGCCCACATCAACATCCATTGTTTGGGAAGCATCAGAAAAAGACATTTCTTTTGGGATGTGTGGGGAGTGCCCAGTCTTTGGTGCTGCAGCTTGTGGTGCTTTGCCAGTGGAATGCATAAATGATCTGCAAGGTTAGAGATGAGTACCCATATCACAGGTTCTTGTCTGGCTCTTTTGCATAGCATTGCAGAACACTCATCTCCAAAACATCCAGTTGGCTGCACTGTTTGTTTTATTTATTTTGAATCTGCCTGAGTTCGTGATAGGCTGCATGTACAATAGCTGCTCTTAAAAAGTTTCATAACAGATTAAAACATTCTCAACATCCCAAGAGCATTTCTTCTTATGCGAATTACACATAGACCTGTATGGTTTTGTTGACAGGATCTCCTGTGTAAGAATCTTTCTCTTTGTTTCTGTTGGCAAAGAACCTACAAACCTAGAATGTTAGTTGGATAAAGTGTGCTGCTTGTTCACAAGTGAGGGAGTGCTTGGTGGGTAGAGGAAAAAGGAAAGTCCAATGTATTTTATGTAAACCTGTAATCTTTCCTCTGAAGTAAATTTAATATGTGAAAATAATAGATTTATTCAAACAAGAGGAGGGACATCAGAATATATGTAACTGGTGTGTTAACTCACCTATTCTTGTATGTAAGATCACTCCAACTTCAGAAACCTTTAATTTGCATAGGCACAATTGAATCACTGTTTTTCTGCCCTAGTTTGAGAAGAATAGTATCATTGTCTCTCTATACTAGAGATGTGAAAGATTAACCAGATTGGCTGGAGCCCAATTAAATGGGATTTTAAATCCCTAGTCTATACTCTTTGGCTACGTCTAGACTACATCCCTTTTTCGTAAAAGGGATATAAATTAGATGTATCGCAATCACTAATGAAGAGGGGATTTAAATCTCCCCTGCTTCATTAGCATAAAAATGGCTGCTGCTTTTTTTCTGCACAGAGCTTTGTCGGAAAAAAGAGCCAGTCTAGACTCTGATTTTGCGGAAAATAAAGCCTTTTCAGAAAGAGCCCTTATCCCTTACTTCATATGAGCCCATTCAAAAATAAATCAATTTAGTCCTTATGTTCAAGCAAAGATAATTTGAGGCTGAGTAAACCTATGACTTACTCTGATTTTAATGCTGGTATCCCTTAAAATGAGTTAACCCTTCCCCTCCCACCATTTTTCTTGGTGGGAGTTCCTAGTTGCAGGAGAATTTATGTGATTTAAAAAAAAAAAAAATCTGGGCTGGGTTTAGGAAACCTGAACAAGGAATCAGCTCTTCCTGTATGCCATGCTGCCCCACTCGATGTGATGTGAGACTTGTGCAGGCAGTGGTCAGTGTGCCCAATGACCTCCCTTGCAGAAGGAGCTCAGAAGTTGTATCTTAGTTCTAGTACTTGGTCCACTATTTTAGAGGTGCACAAGGCTGAAACAAAGGAGTTTGGATTCATCCTATGAATCTGTCTGAAGCAATTAATTACAGGCCCTGACCCCCAGATGCAACCAGAAGATGCTATGAACTATCATCTCATAGTTCTTGCGCAAGAAACACTGACTTCATACATTAGTACGTCCGTGTTCTTGCACAAGAACTCGCGGCCAGTGTAGACAGGCAGCAAGTTTTGGCGCAAAAGCATCTGCTTTTGCGCAAGATTGCACCAATGTAGACATAACCTATGTGTGAAACTGATTGTTCCTTCCTAAGTGGAGCACTTTGCATTTGTCTTTATTAAACTTTATCCTGTTTACCTCAGACCATTTCTCCAATTTGTCGGGATCACTTTGAATTATCACCTTATCTTCCAGATTAGTCGCAACCCCTCCCAGCTTGGTATCATCTGCAAACTTAATAAGCGTACTTTCTATGCCAATATCTAAATCGTTGATGAAGATATTGAACAGAACCAGTCCAATATCTTCCAAAAAACAGACCCCCTTGTGGAACCCCACTTGTTATACCTTTCCACCAGGATTGTGAACCATTAATAACTACTCTCTGAATACGGTTATCCAGCCAGTTATGCACCCACTTTATAGTAATCCCCCAAGCAGTCAGCAGTATGGAAAGGGAGTATGGTCAGAAAATCCAGAACTGGGGTTCCCAACATGTATCAGGATGACTGTACTGCACATAAAATACAGTTGTATAGGTTGAAATTCTGTAACCCGGACTTCCCTGATCCGGCAACACCACTGGTCCGGCATCCTCAGGTGATCCCCTGAAAGCATTCATGGGATTAAGCTGTCTGGTTGAGGCCAGGAGCATTGCCAAAGTAGGGGGCTGAGATGGAGTACTGCAGGTAGCAGAGCCATTGGGAGGACTGCAGAGCCCTGTGATTTCTGGGGGGGGGAGGTGGAGCATGGCTGCCAGAGATGAGTATGGAGCTCCCAGGACATAGTGGGGGGTACTGAGGAAGTGCGCAGAGGAGCACAGAGCACCCCAAGTGTTGATTTTTCATGAGATTTTTTAAAAAAAATTTCTAATCAAACTCCAAGACTACTGGGGGAATGTGGAGCCGCTGAGTGGAAAGCAGAGCTGTGGGCTGCAGTGGGGCTGCTGGGGGTGGAGAGCTCCGCTTCCCCCAGGCATCAACAAAGTTGTTGGGTGGTGCATGAAGCCCAAAGTGGATGCAGGACACTGGCAGGAGCGTGCAACTGCTGGGCAATAGCAGAGCTCAGGATTGCAGCAGAGCTGCTGGGGAGATAGCAGAGCCCCCTGCCACCAGCAGGAGCATAGAGCCCCAGGCAGCAGTGAAGCCATTGTGGAGAGAGTGGAGCTCTGCACAGCAGTGGAGTCCTAGACCATTGTGGGGAGTAGAGTTGGTAGGTGTCCGGTATTGACCTGGACAGTCCGGTATTTTTGCCTCCTGTCTGGTAAACAAAAAAAAATCAGAAAATACTGGACACCTAAAATGTCCGGTATTTTCTGGGTGTTTTTTCCGGAAAATACAGGACATGTGGCAAACCTACAACACACTCAGCAACCGGGCCCAGCCCCCACCAGCCTGGACCTCCTCTCTGGGCGCCCCCGGATGTCCCCTCCACCCCTCTTTGCTTACCTGGTTCCGCAGGGGCTTGTCTTGTGGCTAAAACAGAAAAACAAAATGGCTGCTATCAAAAAAGCCTCTTCTTAAAGGGGCCATGCTGATTTAAAAATTTTTTTTTTCTTAATTGCTGTGGTCCTGGGAATTAAAGAGGCTACAACTGTTTTTTGAGACCCGTCTGTTCCTTTTTTTTTTTTTTTTTCCTCAACAGAATTTTTTTCCTGGTGTGTTTTTTTTTGCGGTGGAGGGGTGTTCGGTATTTTTGGTTAAACCATCTGACAGTGCCAATGGGGAGAGCAGAACCCCAGGATGCAGGTTTGACCTCCCTTGATCTGGCAAATTCTCTGGTCTGGGCCCAGTCAGGTTCTGAGGGTGCTGGACCAGAGAGGTACAACCTATACAGAGAGATCTTGGAATGAATTATAGAATGGCTGGCTGTAAAGCTACAGAAAGGTGTAATTGTGCTGTTAGGAAAGAAGAGCTTCCTTTAGCCTTTACCTGTAAAATGTATGCTGTTTTAATGGATTCTAAAAATCTGTGAAAATAGATCTATATTACTTCCCCTTTAGCTACTAGCTCAGCTTGCACCACAATGGAAACAAATTTTGCTTGTCCTTCTGCCTCCCTCCTACCATGTTTTTCTGCTGCCCCTCCAGTGGAAACAGCACTTCTGTTTCCCAGCAAGGGCAGTCCTGCAGCATGGAAACATGTATCTGGTTCGTTCATGGGAAATAACAAGCATGAAATATTCTGATTCTTCAGGAATTCATCTCTTCTTGTTTCTTTTTTTTCCTTTATAGAACGGAAGAGTTGTCAACAATTCAACAACCCACAAAACCACCGACACAAGTCAATGGAACAGGTAGTTTTGACTAGTCAGTACTAGTGATTCGATTCACTTATCAGTTTTTCTTCACGTGAAGTTTTCTCTCAAAACTGATCTGGGAGATGATACTGAAACATTTGTGTAAAAGTGTTTGGTTCTTTATTCAGACTTTTGGAGCGCTACCTGTGAAAGATTATTTCGATATACTCTTCTGGTCACACAACCATGGTTTAATTTAACAAACTTAAGTTTATAGGATGAAAGAAAAGAGTGTTATCTTTCTCTCTTGATTTCCTTTAAAGTTAAATGACACTGCTGGTGTTAAAATGTTCTTTAGTATTTGACATTAAGTAGAATTTTTGTTGTCTTCGAAAAGCAAAGATAAACATAGCCATCTAGCCCAGTATACGGTCTTTCAGCCAAGTGGCCAATGCCAAGTGCTTATACAAATACTCTGCTGCAGAGGGATCTGTATCTGTTAGTACCCAATTAAAATGTAATAACATTATTGCAACTGGAATTTCTGGTCTGTGGGACATTCTAAAATTCAAAACAAAACCTGAAGCAGAACACACACTAAAATTTGGAATAAAGTATAAATTAAATATTTTGACATTTTTTTGAAATGTTTCTAAGGCTCCCTAGGATTTTTGAAGATGTTGAAGAACCAGTAGCCCCAGCCCCGAAGACTGCTTGTGTGGGGTTTATGTCCTGGGAACCTATTGCAGTTTGGGCTTCCAGGATCCTTATCTGTCCAGACAGGGTATCAAGCAGCTGGACAGGCATACTGGCAGGAAATCAGGAAGGTTTTGAAGCCTACTTGTTTTTTTTTCTCAAAATTAGACTAACATATACAAGGCATAACTAGGGAAGAGTGTTGTATTACTGGGCAGGAGGAGGAAGAAGGAGGAATAGTTTGATTATAATTGTCGAGCAAATAGGATTATAGAGTACAATTGGCCAATCTTAAAATTATATGGCTACCTTAATGTGAAAAGACTCTTAGTCTGTTGTTTGGCTGGATTCAGAAATTTTATGAATTTGGCTTTCCATGTTGCCAGCTTAATAGTGTATGGTTTTTAATGGTCTTTGTGCTAATTAAGCATTTACCATGTTTAAACAATTTGTATTGTTGAATAAAGGATATTTGACTCTTCTCTTTGACTTCCCATGAAAACCAACTTAATAATCATTCAGGTATTGCAATGACTTTTTAAAAATTGTATGATTTCTCTGCTTTTTATGAAAGAGCGGCGTGGAGTCCTGTGGCACCTTATAGATTAATTGAAGTGTTGGAGCATAAGCTTTCGTGAGAAAAGACCCACTTCGTCAGATGCATGCATCTGACGAAGTGGGTCTTTGCCCATGAAAGCTTATGTTCCAACACTTCAGTTAGTCTATAAGGTGCCACAGGACTCCTCGCCACTTTTGCAGATTCAGACTAACACGGCTACCCCTCTGATACCTCCTGCTTTTTATGCCAGAGCAAATATCTAGTCTTGTTTATCAAATGCTTTCCTAGGGTAATGTATCACAGATACTAATTGATTTGGGATTAATGTTTTTGGAAGGTCACAGCAACACTTATGCATCTGAAGTCCCTAGACACGTATTGCTTGTTTGAACAAGACAATTATGGCAACAGAGCTAAAGAGATGATTTGAAAGGTGAAGCCTCAACACTAAAAGTTAGAGAAATTTGGGGTCCTACTATATATAATTGGTGGAATATCTGAAAGAGAAGCAATCCAGAGGAAGAAACATATGAAATGGTTTATGAACAACCAGTTTTCGCAATAAAACTTTATCTGGTGGCATCTGCATTTAACTTGAATATTTCTCCTTAAAGACCAGGAGTCAAATGTTAATTTTAAAAAGTGGATGTCCCTAGATCGATTGTCTTTAATTTCCACAGTTGGTGGGGAAGGAACCATTCAGTGCCATTTGAATCTGAAGTGGAAGGTGATAATTTACAAAGAATGCAACTAAACTACAAATTGAAATTAGATTGTATGTCCGAACATACAAAATACTCTGTTTGATTTATAGATAAACGCAGTCAGATGATGTGTTCAAGAGTCCAGAAGTGGTTTTATGACAAATTTGGGGAGTATGTTGAAGACTTCAGATTTCAGCCGGAAGAAAATACAGTGGAAACAGAAGAGCCACTTAGTGCTAGAAGGTAAATATACTTGTAGAACCACCTCCTTGCTTTGGATAAACCAGCATAAAACTTGTCACAAATTATTCTGCTATAATAAAATACAGGTAAGGAAATGCATTTCTATAAAAAGTTATAGAAATTGAAGTAGCAGGGCTAATTTTGGCTTTGTATGGTTCTAAATTAGTGTTAGAAACAGAGAGTTGAAATCCTGTAATTTTTCTCCATGTCTACAATAAAATTAGACTTGGGGCATGTTTACACTGCAGTTGAGAGCAAGCTTTCCAACTTGGGTGAACAGATAAGTGATAGCTCTGCTCAAGCTGGGCACACCAAAAATAGAGTAGTCAGGGATAGGACAGATGGTGACTTCATGTATTGGAGAGTCCTGTTGGCTAGCTCAAGCTACGCATGGTCTTCCTTGCTATCTGCTAATTTAGCATGCTTGTGTAAGCCACACGCCTTCTGGGTGTGGTGCCTCTGAGAGAATAGCGAGTCAGCTTGACTGTCTTAGCTAACAGCCAACTGGCTTTTAGCCCATGTGGTAGAGGTTTATGCACCAAGCTCCAGAGGTCCCAGGTTTGATTTTTCCCACAGATGATTGGGGTCTGTCAGTGTTTTACTAGCATGTCTCTGTGCTGGAAAGTACACTTCACATACAGCAGTGGTCACCAACCAGTAGATCGGGATCTACTGGTAGATCTTGGAGCCGCTGACAGGGGATCCTGACTGGTTTGGCAGGGAGGCTATCAAGTGCCAGCATTTCAGCTGCCCCTCCCCACGGTGCCCTGCTGCTCCTGCTCAGAGCTGCCCCCTGGAGCCTCCTGCTTGTTGTTCAGAGTAGGGGATACAGAGGTAGGGGGGTATTGATGTCACTTTGACCTCGTCCCCTGTACCTTATATTCCCAGAGTGAAGAGTGTGGGGCCTAGGCGAAGGGGTGGAGCAGGGGTATTTGGGTTTGAGGTAGATCTTGGACTGACTTAAATTCAGAAAGTGATCTTGTGCTTAAAAAGGTTGGAGACCACTAAGCTACAGTATAGATATACCCATGAGCTAGCTACTGGATCCACAGTGTGCTAGAAAATATTTCCTTTAGTTGCGAAGCCAAGTAGCTCATTAGGCTATTGAGATTTTTGGCTTCAAATTTGATCTTAGTTGTAACTAATTTTCAGATGCATTTTTGGCAGTTGACAATAGCTTTATACCACTGATACACTAGCTCTCTAATGTGTGTATTGTACTAGAACAAAAGTTCACAGAAATGCTGAGTTTCCCTGAAATGCTTGTTTGCCTAACATCATATTGTATTATCCATATTTTTCTAGGCTAACTGAAAATATGAGAAGATTAAGTAAGTACCCAGCAATGTCATTGCCTCAACATAAAATCAGACTTTTTTTTATCCTTTACCATAATATTTGTGCATATAAAAAGGCAGAAGTTCTCAAAAATACTTTTGCCAGTTTATAGGAGAAGCATTACTGAATCTTGGAATTAATATCTACTCCAAGGATTAACTTGAGAAACATGACACTAGGGATGGTACTGTCTGCCGCATTATTAAATAGTGGCAGAAGGTATACCCTTGTTAAGCTCTAAGGAAACAGGATGCGCCCATAGAGACTGTAATACAGTCTCTAAATAAATAAATACCCAGTCTGCTAAATAAATACCCACTCTGGTGAATATTAACTCTTCAGAGCTGGATAACTGAAAGCTCATCTTAGACCCCGGTACTCCGCCTTAGTTAATGGAAGTATTAGCAGAGATAGAGACCTGCTAGAGTCAGTATATGTATGCAGGCATGGACCCTAATTGAGCAGGAGGAATACTTCATTTGTGGACTATGCTAATGCTTTGTTCTGCCTAATTTTAAAAATAAAATGATCATAGTGTGTTGTTTCTGTTTGCTTCGGGAAACTCCAGGGTGGCCAAACTGCAGCTCTTGAGCCACATGCAGTTATTTTACAGTTAAAGTCTGGCTCAAGGAATCCACCATTCTCTGCCTACCAGATGGAAGGGAGGGACTCAGGGCTTCCCCCTTAGAGCAGGGTGGTGGGACTAGAGGTATCAGCCTAGGAGGGAGAGGAGTGTAGGGGCTTCAGCCTCTTGGGAGGAAACTGCTGGGGCTCAGGAGTGTTCAGACCCAGGGAACATGCCAGGTGATGTTCTGATCCTCACGAGCCTGCTGTAGGGCAGAAGCCCTGTGCCCCGGTGTCTGTTCAGCGCTTGAAATTCTGACAACTGTCCTATACAGCTTGGTGGGTCTGTAAATTTGGCCACCCCAGAGACACTTCTGTGGCTTGTCCTCCTTATTAGGAAGTCAAGAAAGTCCCAGCTGAGTAAGACATGTAAGACTGCATCCTGGGTATTTTTCTGGGAGATCTGAATCATTCTTAAATTTCCTCAAAAGCAAGGAAATACAGATACAAAGGCAAGGAAGGTTACCAGAGTTACCCTTTTTTGAGGTTCACTCAGGGGCTGGGCATTAGACTTAACTCAATACAACACTGATGACAGGCGCTGCCTGATTGAAGCAGTGGCCTTCTCTGGTACTACTGTCTTCCCAGTGAGTTCCATACAGTTTGGGGTGTGATGTTGGTACCTAGAGCTTCCCTTTCAATGGTTCTGACCCTGAAGCACATCCAGTCCTGGGTGTTTTAAGAACTTCCAAGTCATAGCAGGGAATTTTGAGGCCATTAATTTGTATTGCTCATACTACCCTCCTTGAAGTTATCAGGAGTCTTGACTAAAGTCTACAGGGGATCAAATTAGGCCCAGTAATAGGATATGAGGTTGGAAAGAGAAGAGTGATTAAAGGAGCTAACCCAGTGTGAATCATGTTTCTACTTCCTTGTGTTAAACACTGGTTAGTTTGTGGGTGTGTGATTCCCTTTAATTGCTCAATGAACTTTAAGTCTCTTTTTTTGGTTTTGTTAGTCATCTTTGAACTAGTTTTGCATGCTTGTGTTGTCAGGCAGGGTCCTCCCAACGAATTCCTGACAGGTCTCTGGCTCCATGGATGAGGATAATCAGAATTCTGCTTGCTTGTGCACTCAGTGTTGTGTGCTGTGTTGATTTGTGTGTTGTTTAACACAGCAGACTTCAAGAGAGCCCCCAAAGACCACAAATCAGAGAAGGATTGAAGGTGGCCGGCAAGGTTTATTGTTATGTGGAGTACAGTAATAGTTGTCAGTAGACTGTACTGAACCACTGTGCATATGTAATCTGTGACAATGGACTGACTCAGTGAGTGGGAGACTGCCACTGCCCCTCCCCCCCACTCCATCCAGACAAAGACTGTCTCACCCTCTTACACAGATCTCTCCTTCCTCGAGATGGGTGTCCCTGTGGGTGCTCCACCACTCCCCATTCTTCCCCTCTGCTTTGGTACTATTTCCATACTTTTCTGGGGCAGAAAAGGAACTGAGGAGATAGTTCTTCATGCATGTGCAGTAGCTGCCTAGTGCATGTAGCGCTTCTGCGCTTGTGCAAGCTAGCTGTCAAAGCCACTGCTATTAAAACACCTAAGGTGGACACCCACAAGGATACCCATCTCAAAGAATGTCAGTTACTACAGAGGGTGAGTAATCCTCTCTTACACATCACTCCTGATGTTGTCAGGTTGCTATCCTCTGTCCCTGTCAGGTTACCACCCATCACCCTGTACCTCATGGTTTGATTAGATCACCTCTATCTACCATGCTGTCATTTTAGACCCTTTCTTGAACCTGAGTCTGTGTCTGTGGGGAGTGTGGCTACCAAGGTCTTTTTTAATGAGCTGATGGTACCATGTGCTTTCAACTTATGACCAGTACCAATTACTGTTTTATAGTCGATACCTAATACCAAGTACTGTTCTGCACCTGGGCCAATTACCAATTAGTGTTTTACACTCTCAGCCGTGTTCCTGTCAAGTTCTGTGAGAAAGGGCCTGCCCCTCTTGCTCATGGCTTAGCTTTGCTTTATATTAGCCATGTTTTTTCCATTGTTATCTAGGCCTCAAGCCAGGCATTTTCTATATGGGCTTATGTTTTAGGCCTTCATCTTACTATACCGGAGATTCTGAGAGAGCTCTTCCATTTAAATAAAAAAATCCAATCCATAAGCCTGTCTTTAACATTCAGAATAGATCCCAGTTTATTCCCAGTTTACTTATTGTTTTACAAATGATTCAAGTGCTATTAATTACTTACATTTGTTTTTTCTTTCCTTTAGAGAGAGGTGCCAAACCTGTTACTAATTTTGTGAAGAATCTTTCTGCCTTATCAGATTGGTATTCTATCTACACTTCTGCTATTGCCTTTATTGTAAGTTACCCTCTTCCTCCAAGTTGAAAACTTTATAGTCATCACCTGGTGGCATTTTTTTGAAAGTACCTACTATAATTCAGCATTGCCACATTTGCTGAAGTCAAAACAATGTAGTACAATTTAGATAATATTTTGTTCTATATTTAATAAAACTATTTTTCTTCAGAACTATTTTTAATGTTTGGATTTTTGGTTCATTTCATAACATAACGTTAGGCATTGACAAAAGTTTCCATATTTGCAAATTGTTTACAATTTAGTGGGTGTCATCCTCATGGACCGGTTGCCTGTGCCTGCCACCACTTCCTGCCCACCATCCAATCATCTGACTGATGTTCCTCTATGAAATATCTTGTCAGTCTCAGTTCAGTTACTAATATGGACAGGTCCATATCCAATGCAATGTTCCCCATCAGTTCCCCACCATAACATCACAGTTAGCATTAATTTTGGCACCCTTTTTGCCATTGTCAGAAGAGACGCTCGGGAAATAAGCATACAGACTGATCTAGAATTGAGGTACACTGATGTGGTTTTGTGAGGAGGGCTTGTACTGCTGCTGGTGATGTGTGGTCTGTAGATAATTACAGGTCTTACAGTCTCTGTATCTCTTAATCCACACTAACTCTAATTTAAATATACTGGAAAAAATCTAATCTATAATTTAAAAATAAATTACAAGCTACTGAACTGAAGGGTTCTAGCAACATCATAAACTGTGCAAGTGAAATTTAATTATTTTGCATAGTTACAGCTACATTTTCACTGATTGTAGCACTATTGGTCAAAATGGGCTGCTGATTTAAAAACAATATTCATATACTGATCAAGGAACGCTAAAAAGAACCACCTCCCTTCTGGGTTCCCCTATGACTTCTAACACTGCCTCTACATCCCTTTGCCCAGACCCCTTCTTCTCTTCCTCCCATTTCTCCATTTCTCACCAACTCTTGCTTCTCATCTGGAAAGTGATTTATCTAGAAGCAGAATGGTCTGAAGAACCTTTTCTGGGGTTTGGAAACTTCTAGCTGTACTGATGGATGAGCACTGTCTCATTGTGTGGCTTTGAGTAGAATGCCTTGCTATGTTTCCTTGTCCATACTGTGGCCTTTTTCAGAGGTTCTGAGGGCAGTAATGGACATATGGGAGTGGGGGAGTAACAGAGTGGGGGAGATCTAGGTTGGCTGTTAGGAAAAACTATTTCACTAGAAGGGTGAGGAAGCACTGGAATGGGTTACATCGGGAGGTGGTGGAATCTCCATCCCTAGAGGTTTTTAAGTCTCAGCTTGACAAAGCCCTGGCTGGGATGATTTAGTTGGGGTTGTTCCTGCTTTGGGCAGGGGGCTGGACTCTATGACCTCCTGAGGTCTCTTCCAGCCCTAGGATTCTATGATATGGAAATCATTTCAAAAGTGCAATCTGTTATGTAAGCGCTAAATAATGTTTTCCCCTTTTTTCTTAGACATCTTAGTTTCCTTCCCCTGAATGACATAAAACCTGGTAAAGCATTGGGGATATTGCATCTGTGGGGAAAAAATACAATTCAATATCTTGGTGCTCAGCCTGCCATCTCTTCCTCAAGAGTCCAGTTGCTGGAACCATTCTGACTTCCACTCAGCTGGTTCTGATTCACTGCTAGATGATCATAAGATGGCCCCTTTTGTCTTAACTTCTATTACTCTAATAACTTTCGAGAGAGCCTGTTAAGGCTTCCTACAGCTCCAGCAACTACAAAAGATTTACTGATGCACATGTAGCTCAGAGCTGCTTCCATGAAATTGATAGAATCTCATAGATAACATTTAACGCTGGGTGTGTGAATCTGGTACAGTCATGGGTGCTTTCACACCCTTAAGTGTTAATAGATTGGGGAGTTGAGTTTTAGCATGTATTGTCATGTGCCTAGAAACAAAATTCATGTATTGTTTTGTGCAAATCACTGTAACTTAGCTTGTAATCTGCAACTTTCTTTTTGTCTACAGATTTACATGAATGCTGTATGGCATGGCTGGGCCATTCCTATGTTCTTATTTTTAGCAATTTTGAGGTTATCTCTAAATTACCTCATAGCCAGGTATTTACTTTGCTTAACTATTAAGAATTTAGCCATTTGTGTAACTTAATTTATCAAGAGGCTTTTATTTTGTTCTTGACATGTTACAGTTAATTTCAGTTTATTTGCTTAGAGCCAGGGTTAAAATGTGTGTTTAAATAAATGTGTGGGTCTAAAGCCATGACAAATATCAAGTCATAGAATCCAGATTAGTCTTGTGATAGATCTTCATGTCTCTTAGGTAATAGTCTTGGTTTGCATTGACTCAGGTCACCAGAAGCAATGCCACATATTCTCTGACTTAATGCAGTGCATTATTGTTAGAGTAAAATCCCCAAAAGGATCCAGTTTCCATCCTCAAGTAATACTAGAAGAGATGGGAAAGCATCATGTTATAGGCTGAAGCCTGTTCAAGTTTAAGCAAAAAATCTTTTTCTTTCATTCAGGCTTGACACAAGTTGAATTAATTTTTAACTTAGATACAAATATGCTAATGAGAAAATATTTAGTTTTTCACAGTTTTAACCCCAACTTGCCTTCATACTCTTACATGTACAGGAGGCCCCCGACTTGTGACCACCCGAGTTCTGACCCCCCACACTTACAACTGTTTTTGTAAGTGTGGAAGGTGCCGAAAACCCCCGACCTACGTTCTCAGCCTGCATTTATGATGGCATACGGCGCCTGTCATCAATGAGGATTCGAGTTGTGACGCCCCCGACTTGCAATACTTCCCTAGGAACCAATCGCATCGTAAGATGGGGGGCCTCCTGTAGTGGCACTCTTTGTTGTAACCATATATCTCAGCTCTTACAGAAACTATGCAAAAAATCTAAAAATTCAGTAATATTGATTTGAATTGATTAAACAGCCCCAGAAATTTATATTGAGTGTTCTGAGAAACTGAGGTATTTAAAAAAAAAAAAAAAAAGTCTATTCCTGAGAGTCATGAAGAATGCCTACCTAAATCTCAGTGTCAGGCTTAGGACCCTTAAAAGTGCAAAGTCTCACTTCTAATACTGATGACTTTCAACAGTTCTACTGAGGAAGGGGAAAGAGCCTGTTTTTATTGGAATTTAACAGGTAACATTTAGTTTGAAGTGTACAACTCCAGTGACTTCATGGGAGGTTCATCTGTTTAATTGCTGAATTAGATCCAGAATGTGTAATCATTCAGTTAGGGAGAAAAATACAATCTTTGCAAATGGCCTATGCAGCATTAGTATATATTTATTGGACAATACTATAATCCCTTCATTACTGCTTATTGTAAGAAAAAGGATTGATGAGCTTATTTTAAAAAAAAACAAAAAAACCTCCCAGCACAAACGATGATGCAGAATGGTTGATGTGATGTTTTGCTCAACAGCTTAGAACACACTTTAATTACTGTAAACATACAAGTGGCTATAACGTCATTGCCATAAATCAGTGTTAAGTGTTTGAAATATCAAGGTCATGTAACTGGTTATTGTTTGTGTGTGTACTTAAAAGGACACCGTTAGTTACCCTCTCATAGATATTTAAATACTTCATCATTTTGTTAAAGCTGCTTAAGTTTTGGTTGCAGAAAAGCATTTTAAACCCTGCTCAGTAGACTTGTGAAGAAGAGATATCTATATAGTTTGTTCCTTTCACTTTTAGGGGTTGGAGAATACAGTGGAGCATTGTGCCTGAAGTTTCTGAGCCCATTGTAAGTCTTCAGTCTTCAATTTGCAGTGCATGTTGTAATTCTGTTCCAAAACACATATATATGTCTATGTGAAAATTGTCCTTTCTAAGGGCACACCTTGACTCTGTGGAAGATTGACACTGCTATGATCAATCATCCAGACTTTGATTTAGCGAGTCTAGTTAAGACTCACTAAATCGAACTCAGAGCGCACCACACAAGGGTCTGGTACTCCTGCTCTTGCCAGGAGTAAGGTAATCTGATAGAAGCATATGCTCCTATAGGGTGCCTGCTGTGGGGACGCCGCCAAGCTTGATTTAAGGTATGTGAATTCTAGCTATGTATTTTATGTAGCTGGAGTTGCATGCCTTAAGCCGAGCTGCCGGGTCTAGTGTAGACCTGGCCTAAGTCTTTTGCTATATTTAATCACTCAGATGGGGAAGATGTAAAAACACACAACTGTCACCACTCTTCTTTCTTTTGTTATTTGCAGTTTCGAAACCAACATTGGTGGTGGGTTTTGCTGTTTTTTTTTTACTGGAGAATGTTGGCTGTTTCATCATAAGTGAAAGTGTGAATTGAGATTTGAATCTAGCAGACTTTTCCATTTCGGAAACTTGCTTATACTTTTGCTGAAAGTCCACTGCAATAATATGAAGCTGTTAGTAGCTTTCTGCCTGTGAAGAGTAATATTGATTTGAATTAAATAGCCCAGAAATTTATACTCTCCATAAGAGTTCTTAGGAAGGACTATTGATGATGGAGAGCTATTTTCATTTTTATCATAAGTTTCTAGACACATAACTTTACAAGAGAGTTTTTAAACAGAATATAAATGATCCTTGTCTAGCGCAGGAAGGACATCAGATTTGTACAACATCTGCATACATCAGAGCAATTTGTTAGTTAGCTACTACTAAGACAAATCACAGCTAGCAGCTGAAAAACTAAAACCCGTATGTGGTCTACAGTAAATTTAGGATACAGGATGCATATTTGTTGGCTTTATTGTATGTGAAAAGTTTTTTGATTTTTTTTGTAACCAGCAGTTTTCTAAAAATATAAAGAGAAGTGACAAAGCTAAAAGGTAAATTTTAATTGGAATTTTTGTATCTTGTCCTAGGAACCTCCAAAGGAAGACCTGACAGTGTCAGAAAAATTTCAGCTTGTTCTAGATGTGGCACAAAAAGCACAGGTAGGTACTGTGCTCCATTCAAACTTTGCCAGTGTTTCCCAAATAAAGAAGATACACCTTGACAGAGCTTGGTGTCGGAACTAATTTACCTTGTAATGTCTTGTTCCTTTATATATTTAAAAGAAATACCTTGTAATGGAGAAGTAGGAATCATTACTAAACTGCTTTCGATTTTATGAAAACAACATACTGAATTGTATAAGGAAAACTTCAAATAAAATACAAAAATGAATAAAATACAACATGTATAATGGCCCCATTCATCTTTAAAGATATTTGTAAACTCACATCTGCAATAACCAGTTGAGTATAGCAGCTTTTTTGATGACTATAAAAGCCAATTATGGGCAAACAGATTACGTTGCATTGAATGTAACGAAAGGTCTTTTCCTGTTAACGATGGCTAATTGTTTTTTACTCTTGTCTTTTTGTTTTGAGTATTGAGAGCTACAGTTTATCATATTTTGCAATGTTTCTCTCCAGACTGGATCGCCAGCTTAAACAATCTTTCTCTTGGGCTTCCCAAGTCTGTGGCTCATTACCAATGCATTTTAGATCTCTCTTGAAGGCATTTTGAAACCTAAATTTGGGCATCCTCTCTGTCTTTGACCTTTTGTATAATCATCATATAAAAAGTCTTTTGGAAGTGTTCCATCTTGCATTCTATGTACATGACCTAACCAGTGAAGAAGGTTGTGCTTAATAGCTTTCAGGCTGGAGATTTGTGCCCTCATTAACACTTCTTCATTGGTGATTTTGCTCCTTCTTCATGCTCATTCTATGACCAGAATTGGTGGCTGCCTTCCCAACGCGTATATACCAGCTCCTCTTCCAATGACAAGTTCTTGTAATAGCTCACAAGTAACAAAATGAGTCATATGTTTGGAGATTGGTATCACTGAGTGTTATGGAAGGTTGGTATTCTGTGCCTTGCACCATGATTACTGTCTTTTTCACACCAATGGTGAGTGAGAGAGACCAATGTGCATCTTGGAGGCGATTTATGAGCTCATTAGAGGAGACTATACAGATGAAGTAAAAAGTTGGTTTTCCACCTTTAAGTAGTTCTGCTAGAATGCCATCTTTTCCAATAACAAGAGAATCTAAAGCCTTACCCAGATTTTCAATGCTTGGTTCTTGATCATCCAACATATAAACTGCCATAAATGATCTTCTTGGCCATTCAGACCCATAATATTCACCAATAATAGTAAAATAATAACTGCAAATAAGTGCTGCCCACCATCTTCAACCCATCGTTCCTTATAAGAAAAAAATACAAACAAACCAGGAAATTGGTAGTTTCCTGGGGAAAGTTAATGAGTTAAACTAGCACTTTAAATGCCACCTACTGGTTAATATGCATTGCACTCTGTTCAGGACTCCCTTACTGAAATGTGCTCTTTATGAAAACTTGATTAATAAAAGTGAGCTGCTGCTTTCTGCACTAGCTTTAATTATCTCTAGCTAATGGTCCTTAGATGTAGACACATGTTTGTAGTCTTGATTTAGACAGTCTGACATTTCCTCCTTAATGTCTTGCCATTATCTTGAACTGATCATGCCGGAATTTCTTACCTTTCATCCCAGATCCTCTCTACTCACCCATTCTTTGTGATTGAGCAATGCTACCATCTGTCGTATAACTCAGAACTCAGGGGAATTGTCAAGTCCTCCCTCCTACTTCTCAGCCAATCCCTTCTAGGCAGTGTCCAAATTCTTCTATATCCTGACATGGTTTGACATCCTTTCTGTCCCCACAGCTAAAATACACATTCATGCCCTCATTTACAGCTGTAACAACTTCCCTGGCCTTCCTGACACCTACATTGACTCCTCTGTCCCATACAAAACATGGCTACTAAGATAGCTTTCCTGGCTCATTATTTTTCTTACAGTACCTTCCTTGGTTCCTGCTTTCTCCCCTACTACATTAAGTTCAAGCTTTGTGTCTTTCTTCCAGTTCCTGTGTAATTCTGCCCTTCCTTATTTATACATCTGACATTTTTTCACCTGTTCTTACCCTTAGATTCTCATCTTCTTTTACTCTTAATGATGCCAACATCAACATACTGTTTATCTGTTTCTCCCACAACAGCCAGAGACCATGCTGTCTGTATGTTTATTGGAGCATAATGTGGGAGCGGCTGAAAATAAACCATGCAATTTAATAGCAAAGGACAAGGAAAAAATGTGTAGAAAATTCTTCCAGGCCATCAGAGTGGTTTAAGTGTTGGATAAACCATGTTCTTCATCAGAGCTGTAGGGAATCTAATAGTCTCCATCTGCTTCAAAGGATGTACCATCCGAATAGACCCACTATGTGCTTGAGAGAGGTGGATCCTGATACCAACCAAAGAAGCTAATGGTCAAACCATGACACAGACAATAATCAACATTTCCAAAATCCGTTCCATCCAAATTCTATTAGTTCAGATCTGGTGTGTTGTCTACTTAAATAGTTTGTCTTTTGACTTCTCCATCAATTTAAAATGACTACCAGGACACGTATGTTGTTTAGCGATAAGAAATTTAAGAAGTTCCTTTCATTTAATTTAGTTCATATATAACCAGAGCAGTTCCCAGCTGCTGATCTGCTACCAGGCTGCAGCCGGGGCTGGATACACCACTCCCGCTGTGGCTGTAGTGGAAGGGTTGGGGCTCTAGGCTGACACTGGGGGGCTTTGGGGGCTGGGCTTTTGGTGGGTCAGTACAATTGTATTTGCATATTCATTATTTGCACAATGAATATGCAAATATGCAACTAAAGTGTTACCAGTCCGTCAAAAGTTTGTGCATGGGTTTTCCGGTCTGCAGTATAAAAAGGTTAAGAACCATTGTATTACAGAACAAGATATGTAACAAAATTGAAATCCCGCTGAATGCTGTTTGTTTAAATTGTAAAGGGAAATCATGCATATTAGTGAAAGTGCATATTTTGTAATTCTCTAGACTTTTAACTAAAACCAGGAGAAACTGAAGGTATGTCTACACTGCATTCCTCCTTCGAGAGAGGAATGCAAATGCTTCTTTGAAATAACCCAACATCTAGACTGTGGTTTTTTCTTTCGAAATAGGATATTTCAAAAAGGCGCCCGGATGTGATTATGCAAATGAAGTGCAAGAAATTCAAATCCGTGCTTCATCTGCAATTACATTCAGCTGCATTTGCATTCCTCTCTCGAAGGAGGATGCAGTGTAGACATACCCTAAGTGATTGGCTTTCAAGAATCCCTTAACATAGGAAGTAACTTTTGCTTTCAATAGTATCAGTTATCTGCAGGAGAAATTATACCACACGTTAACTATCTGTTGCTTTTAATGCAGAACCTATTTGGCAAAATGGCAGGCATATTGGAAAAAATCAAGAAGTAGGTTTATTTATTTCTTTTTCTCCTAAATAAACCATTTGAACAATCTCCAGATGGCTAAAAACAAAATGATGTAATAATTATTTCTGTTTTGTTTTTACAGCTTGTTCATGTGGGTCCAGCCCGAAATAACGCAGAAGCTATATATTGCTCTGTGTGGGGCTT